TTTAGGTTGTGTTAGAAAGCGACCAAAATCTACCGTCAAGCCAACATCTTAAACCAACGTCATATTGACATCAAATACTGACATTTATTCATCAGAGATGGCAACCAAAATCCAACTTCTGATTGACGTCATAGTGGAAACATCCACATAACGTCAAGCTGTAGCATCATTGGATGTTGATATTTGGTTGGTTTTTAGGTTGGACGTTGGACATCTTTTTAAATCATTCTATTGTGCCATTATCTAAAGTTTTACCATTTGTAAGCAAAACACTTTTAATTATTTAAAATATAATGCAATGTGCTTGTGTTTAATGTGCTTTTTATGCTTATCAAAATCCCTTTTGTGACTTTAGTTTCATGCAAACGCCTTGTTTATGACCGGAGCACATTTATGATGAACAAAAGCTGCATATCTGATCAAGCCGGACGTCTATCAATCTCTCCAGTATCATGATAGTGATTAATCCCTTTATGTACTGATATCAGGGTGACTCTTTTAACAGTCGCCTCATACTTGTGCAATTTCATCATGCACACGTCACACTTCCAATGCATACCAGGGTCATGAGAAGCGCCGTGTAAACACACACACACTCACACTCAAACAGCAGAGACACATCTACTGTACAGTAACAGCAAACGAGAGAAACCTGTGAAATCACTAAAATGCCTAGTGCACGTGTATCGATCTCCACACTAGATCAGAACTAAACAACAACTGCAAACCAGTTCTTAATTTCAAACCAGTTTAGTGAAGACAATTAAACAATGAGTAATGAGCTTTCATGCATTTTGTTCAATTTGCAATGCAATGACTTCAATGCATGACTTCTACTGACAGTGCAATTGTTCCATCACTGTATTAAGAACAGAAAAAGCTGATGTGCATCATTCTGAAACCTATTAGCAAGTTTAAATGCATATGAAGCCTCAGCGTTAAGAAACACGCCTCTATCACTCGATCACTGAAAAATCAAACTAATAATTGCATAAAAGGCAATTAAGAACTGCATAAAATATTATGAATTGCTAAAAAAAAAAAGCTTTTAACTTCCCTCTGCATGTTGCGCAGCAATCGTGAGAAAAAACATGGCACAATTGAGAAAAATAAAATCAGAATTGAGAGAAGAAAGTCTTGAATTTGCAATTGCATGAAATAAAAACCAGGTCAGATTCATAAGAACTGAAATCCAATAACCTTGCAACTAAAATAAAACAGTGAGAATTTAAACTGGCAAGAAAATACATTTAAGCAATAACTAACTACAGATCTTCCATGCATTTTATTCAATTTGCAACGCATTGGATTCAATGCATGATTTTCATGCGCATCATTCTGAAACATATTAGCAGCTCAGTTTAAATGCATAATATGCCTCTATCACTCCCAACTGTGAAACACCAACTACAAACTGTACAAAAGAGCCAGAATTGTTCAAAAACAGCTTTAAAACTTGAGTTTGCACGTTGAGCTGCAATTCTGAGAAAAAAAAAAGGTCACAATTGAGAAGAATGAAATTAGAATTGAGGGAAAAAATCCCTTAAATTTGGAATTGCATTAAATGAAAAAGAAAGACAGCAACAACAAAAAAAGCCAATAGCCCTGCAAATACAACAAAAAAGAGAATTTAAACTGGCAAGAAAATAAATGAGTAACGGCAAAGATCTTTCATGCATTTTATTACACTTGCAATGCAATGACTTCAATGCACGACAGCGCTGTTGTTCCATCACAGTATTAAGAACAAAACAAAATAATTCTGAAACACATGCACTCATTAGCACGCTCAGTTTAAATGCAGATGAAGCCTCAGTGATAGGAAACATGCCTCTATCACTCTCAAAGATGAAAAGCCAAAATTGTAAGAAAACTGCTTTTAACTTAAGTTTGCATGTTGAACTGCAATTCTAAGAAAAAAATGTCACAATTGAGAAGAATGAAATCAGAATTGAGGAGAGAAAAAATTTTTTTGAGTTTGCAATTGCATAAAATAAAAACCCAGTCCCGTGAGAACTGAAATGACAACAAAAAAGACAATAACCATGTGAATACAAAAAAGTCAGAATTCAAACTGGCTAAAAATACATTTAAGCAATGAATAACAACAAAAATTTGCAATGCAATGGCTTCAATGCAGGACTGTTACTGACAGTGCAATTGTTCCATCACTGTATTAAGAACAGAAAAGGCTGATGTGCATCATTCTGAAACCTATTAGCATGCTCAGTTTATATGCATATGAAGCCTCAGCGTTGAGGAACACACCTCTATCACTCAATGACTGAAAAGTCTATTTAATAATTGCATATAAGCCAATTATTACTGTATAAAATCTTTAAAATTGTAAAAAAAAAAAAAAAACAGCTTTTAACTTGCGTTTACATGTTGAGTTGTCAAAATTGAGAAGAATAAAATCAGAATTGAGAGAAAAAAATCTTGAATTTGCAATTGCATGAAATAAAAAAACAGACCAGACCCTTGAGACCTGAAATAACAACAAAAAGCTAATAAACTTACAAAAACAGTGATAATTTGAATTGGCAAAAAAATTTATGAGTAACGGCAAAGATCTTCCATGCATTTTATTACATTTGCAATGCAATGACTTCAGTGCATGACAGCGCTATTGTTCAATGACAATATTAAGAAGAAAATTACAAACATTCTGAAACATATGCACTCATTTACACACTCAGTTTAAATGCAGATGAAGCCTCAGGAAACATGCCTCTATCACTCTCAAAGATGAAAAGCCAACTAATAACTGTATAAAACAGTCAGAATTGTAAAAAAAAAAAAAAAAAAAAAAAAATCAGATTTCAACTTAAGTTTGCATGTTGAACTGCAATTTTGAGAAAAAAAAGGTCACAATTGAGAAGAATGAAATCAGAATTGAAGGAAAATTTTGTGAATTTGCAGATGTTTGAAATGAAAAACAGGCCAGACCTGTGAGAACTGAAATAAGCTTTATAATAACCTTGCAAATACAATAAATAAAAGTCAGAACTTAAACCGACAAGAAAATACATAAGTAATGACAAAGATCTGCATTTTAGTATATTTGCAATGCAATGACTTAAATGCATGACTTCTACTGACAGTGCAATTGTTCCATCACTTTATTAAGAACAGAAAAAGCTTATGTGCATCATTCTGAAACCTATTAGCATGCTCAGTTTATATGCATATGAAGCCTCAGTGTTAAAGAACAGGCCTCTATCACTCAATGACTGAAAAGTCTATTTAATAATTGCATAAAAGCCAATTATTACTGTATAAAATCTTTAAAATTGTAAAAAAAAACAGCTTTTAACTTGCGTTTACATGTTGAGTTGTCAAAATTGTGAAGAATAAAATTAGAATTGAGAGAAAAAAATCTTGAATTTGCAATTGCATTAAATAAAAACCCGATCAGACCTGTGAGAACTGAAATAACAACAACAAAAAAAGCTAATAAACTCCCAAAAACAGTGATAATTTGAACTGGCAAGAAAATTCATGAGTAACGGCAAAGATCTTCCATGCATTTTATTACACTTGCAATGCAATGACTTCAATGCATGACAGCGCTATTGTTCCATCACAGTATTAAGAACAAAACAAAATAATTCTGAAACACATGCACTCATTAGCACGCTCAGTTTAAATGCAGATGAAGCCTCAGTGTTGGGAAACATGCCTCTATCACTCTCAAAGATAAAAATCCGACTTATATCTGTAAAAACAGTCAGAATTGTAAGAAAAGAGCTTTTAACTTGAGTTTGCATGTTGAACTGCAATTCTGAGAAAAAAAAAGGTCAATTGAGAAGAATGAAATCAGAATCGAGGGGAAATCCCTGGAATTTGCAATTGCAGGAAATAAAAAAAAAACAGGCCTGTGAAAACTGAAATGACAACAAAAAAGCCAATAACCTTGCGAATACAAAAGAAGTCAGAATTCAAACTGGCTAAAAATACATTTAAGCAACGAGTAACAACAAAGATCTTTCTTGCATTTAATCACGTTTACAATGCAATGACTTTAATGCATGACTTCAACTGACAGTGCAATTGCTGCATCACTGTATTAAGAAGAAAATGACAAACATTGTGGAACATATGCACTCATTAGCACGCTCAGTTTAAATGCATATGAAGCCTCGGCGTTAAGAAGCATGCCTCTTTCACTCTCATAGTCAGCAGAACAAAACAGCCACTCCCACCATCCCGGGCTTTCCATTGTTGTCTATGACGGCCCATTCAGCTCGAACGGCCCTCTTATTGATTTTGGGGAAGGGAAGCCAAGCGGAAAAGGTAGAAGTTCAGCATGAAATCCATGCAAAAGTGTCTAAAATCCAAACACTAATCCAGTCTGAAACTCCCAATTCCGCCTTTTATGTGAGGATTAAAACGCTTGTTATTTATGCATGAATCTCTTTGCTTTTAAAAAGTAAAAATGATTTAATTTCATTCACTATTTAGTGCTTTTTTTTCAACAAATACAGCAAATGCATCCCTTTTTTTCCTTCATAGGATAGTCATGATAACAGACAGGGTTTCTGTAGGTTCCACCAAGTCAAATTGAAGACTTTAAGACCCTTTTAACATCATTATGAATGAAATTTCAGACTTTTACAAGGCAAAACACTAAGGATTTTGTGTAATAGTCAGTGGAATATTTTACCTGCCTCATTAAAGTTATTTCTCAGCCACATATTTAACATAATATGTCAAAATAAACTTAATATTGTAAGAATGTAAGGACGATAATTAAACCATGTTGCTAAATAGTGTTGATCAATTCTATTGTGGGTGGCTTTACATGGACAAAGGAAGATTAGGACCAGTTTAAAGCATCTAAAGACATACAACACATCATATTTAGTGGATTTAAACCTCTTTAATGCCTATATTTTAATTCTTTAGACTTGTTTAAGACCCCACGGACACCCTGAACAGAGTTCAGCGTAGCAACGGCTGTAAACAATGCATCCCATCATCATCCGGGCGCATCTTACCTTGCAGCTGTTTGAATCGGCCCTCGAGCTGGTTATAGTTGAAGGGCACTTGCGCAGGGAAGCTGGGCTCCTGATAGAAGCCTCGGGGCCCCCAGACGCCCACTCCAAATCCATGATCCCTGACCGAGAGGGAAACTATTTCCAGATTCCTCACAAAAAAAAAAACCTCCCAGGAAACCACAGAGCCGGCGCAGAAAGAAAAAACGAGCTGGATTTTCTCTGAGCTAAAATGAGGGATATCCAATAGCCAAAAGCAGGTTTCCGTCCCGATCTAACGTCTTGGAGGAGACCAGCATGCTGCCGCTGTCTCCGGGATGGTAGCTCTTCACACTCTGTCCATTCAAAAGCACAATCTCCCCCCAAAAAAACTAAAACAGCTCACAGGCAGACAGCTCCTCCTCCTGTCAGTGGAGGATGGATCAGTGCTAACTCTCCCTCTAGTTAGTCTCAATCCTCCACAGTCAATGGAGAGACTCTTTTTCTCTTTTCTTTTTTTTTACGGAGCAGGCGAGGGTTGTAATTTCAGCTTGCTCTGTGTGTGTGTGTGTTTGCAGATGATGTCACCAGCTCATTACAATGAAAGAAGAGGAGGAGACGGGTCGTACCAAGTCTCCAGTGAAGACAGGGGGGGACTGCGGGAAGGATCTTGAGCAGGAAGTCAGCCCATTTCCATGCATTGTTATGTGGGTCATGCGAGACCAAAGGAAAGTGGCGTAAGAAACACAGAACAGCCTTCTTGGAATGTTGGACTGATTTGCATCCTGCCGAAAATTCAGCGTTTGCTTGAAAATTCCCCCCTGTTTTTTTGTCCTCCTCCTCCATCTGTCTGCAAGGTGAGGAGGAGGAGGGGATCAGCCCTGAATGCAGAACTTTGAACCTCTTGTCAAAGTTTGGCCAGAGAGTTGCACAAATAAACATCTGCTAATTCCCACTCAGGAATTTCACACGGCTGCGTCGGGACGGTGAAGATCATTCTCACTATGGAGGTGCTTTCCTGACAGCAAACAGACCCTCTGCTGCTCTTTTAGGGGTGTGAAGTGATTATGTGAAACCGCTCAAATGTACAGATGTCAAAAGGGAGATTGATTTAGACCGGATATGAGACTCTGTAAATCAATGCTCTGTTTCATACACTCTATAAAATGACATTTGTTCAAACTACTTATTTAAAATGAGCTGAAACAACACGATTCTTAAGTTTTTTTTGGGACAACTTAATTGTTTTATGTTCAATCCACTTAACTTAATTCCTTCATGTCGTCCCAACACAAATCGATTAAGTTACTTTAATTGACCCTTCGCTAAGCCACACCCAAAAACCGCCACCCACCAATCGTGGCTTAGCAACTGTAGCTACGCGCAGGGGCTCTGTCAAGCTTTCGAGCGAGTGCATATGGATTGTGCAAATCTGATACCCGGTCTCCCTAAAGTTTGGACGGGATGGTGGAAATTTTTCCTTTTCAAAACCTAAAACTCAAGAGGAGAAATGCCAGCGTGGATCAAGCTGTGTGAAGGGCGCTAAAGGAGCGGAGATAAGTTGGTTTTGTTTTGATATTCCCGACACATTCAGTGATAAACAGACGCTAATAACTCACACACCTCTTACCCTAAACAGATCTAAACTGTGTTTCCTACAAAAACACAAAGCTGGTTCTGTTTCACAGCTGACCTATTCCTTTTTTTCGCTCGATATTATGAGTAATGCTCTGTTTAAGCCTTCGCCATAACATTAGTAACTTAAGCTGCGTCCCAAATTGCATACTTATTCACTATTCTACGCCATTTTGTAGTATAAATAGTGTAAGTAGTGTGTTCACACTGAAAACTCTAAAGATATTAAATGCACTTTAATTACCCGGATGATGCACTCATTCAGCCGCTAAAATGAAGTGTGTAATGATGGACACTTCACGCACTCAACGACCGCATGTTTGCTTACGTAGCGGAAGGGGCGGAGCTATCGGGCGCACATGTTGGATAACTTTATTTATTTTGGATGGTGAAGGCAAAATTCTCCTACGAGAGTGATTATAGCGCCTCCCGATGGTGAATGCAGCAATACTCACGGCAGGTATTATTTGATAATTCTGTTGTTTACTTCACTGATTTGGCGACTGTCAAACGTCATCAGGGAAACGGTTTGAATTTCCGCTTAGTAAAAACACATTAGTGTGCCATTTGGGACAACACTACATACACTGTAAAAAATGTTACTTAGATCTAACTTATAAAAAGTGAGGCAAGTGGTTGCATCGGACGTTTTAGGTTGATTCAACTTCCAGCCTTTTTTAAGTATTTTAAACACTAAAACATTGCTTAAAACAAATGCAATAAAATTAAGTTGAGCCAACTAATATTTCTAAAATTACTCAAATCAGATAAACTTACTTTTTTTGTTAAACTTAACTTACTTATACATTGCTATATGTTGACTGTACTCATTTTAATTAAGTATTATGAACTTAATGATCTAAATAAAATTAACCATGCATATGTCATTTAAAACTAATTTAATTGACTTCTGGCTGTAACCTCAGAAAATAAATCTTCGTTTCTATATTGTAAGCACAATATACACTAGTAAAAACAGATAAACAGACTTTCCTGTCAATAACAATTAAATAAGAATGGGAAGATGGATTAAAGACCATAACATGTATTCAATATCAATCGATGTTCCTTTTAATAGTGACTACAAAATAGGCCATTAATGTGGCTACACGTACACAATACATAAATAAAAACATTAATAATACCAGATCCTATTGAGAAATCATCCAAGGCAACTCAGTGAGGAGATTTGCATATTTTGATGAAGATTTTGGATGCATAATGTCCAGTCCCACAAAGAGTCTCTAATATATCTCAAATGTATACAGTTTTGATGGATACTTGAAGTCGAGGACATCGGTAAGTCCAAACAGGAGCCATCATGCATTTGACAGGTTTGGCAAACCTCTGACAGTCCTATGATAATCCAAACTGTGTTGGGCTGATGGCAAATTTTTCCCGTGGGCAGCCGCATGCACCTCTGATTCCTCACAACTCTATTGGTAGAGACAAAAAGAAACAGGAGTTCAGGTGGTTGCTACCAAACAACATTAAATAGCTAAATACTAAATAGGAAATAACTACAAGTGAAGTTACAAAAGTCCAGTGAGAATGATGCATGGATGAAACACCTTAGTTTATCAGTTAAAAATTACCTTAGTTAAAATTACCTAACTTCTATTTAAAAAATAAAAAAAGGTTATAGAGGTTGTGTAATTACATTATTCCAGGTGTTTTTAGTTATCAAATTTTAAAGAAAACTGTGATTTTACTCAGTGTAACAGTGCATGTCATTGTGTTTTCCTGTCAATCAAAGAATTGTTAAAATTTAGGTATTACATTTTTTGTTTATTTTGGCAACTTATAAAGCATAAGAATGTGTATTTAATTTAGATATTAAAACTGTTTGAAAATGGCTATATGAAAATTATAGAATACAAGTTCTATAATTTAAATGTCATCTTCATTTTGCACCAAACTTTGCACGTCATAATACAAATTTTATTAAATAAATAAATAAATACATTGCCATTTTACACATTACATTAATGTTTACATTAAATTTTTGCTAAAGCTACATTTAATTGACTTTTTCTTCAAATTTAATGTCACTGGCAAATGACAGTTCAGTGATTCAGTGTTATCAGTTAGCTTTATTGAAAGACTGACAGATAATAAGAAACTGCATTAGGATATTTTTATACTGTTTTTACTGTTGCACACATAAAAAAATCTTCAGATATCAAATGTAAGTTAATTCTATGGAGCCCACTATTGTTTGCAATTTTACCAATGTTTTACTTGCCTGCAAATAATTATAGCTGTAGTTGTATCTAATGTTTTTCTTACCTGGATGTAAAGTTTGAAGATCCACAGGTAACAAAATCACTTTGGTATCTAAAGACCAAGAACATGCATTTTAGAATGAGGTGCATACAATTTAAATGGTTCTGTAAACATCAGTAGTAAATGTAATTTAAGTTAAAATAAATTGTAAATCTGTAATTTATTCACTATGCAGCATTAAAAAACTTATGGACTAAATCTCTAAAACACAAACTTTAAGTTATACTTTCTCTTACGTTAAACACACACTATTTAACTGTTGCATACGTTTCTGCATTTAATATCCATCCTTAATGTGCTGCTATAACTTAGGTGAGCTAACTTTAGCTAAGTTACCGCTAGCAAACTGAACCCCCACACCCCGACCGCCCACCAGTGACCTTGTTAATCGGTTCTGTAACGTTAGTTATACCTACTATTTGTTTTAAAACTACTTTCACTATTTTTCTCAATAATATCACTTTTAATCGTTAGCATAAACTAGCGTTGGTTAGCGTTAGCCAACTTAGCTTTCCATGTGAGAGCAGTCTAACTGTTAACATACCTGAGGCTACAGTACAATTTACAAAGCTAAAACCTCACCTGCCTAGCGAAGACAGCAGTTTTGCATGACTTTACAATTATCATTCGGCTAAATTTGCAACTTACCGTGTTAATCAGATCCGCTGCTGGGAGCAGTTAATGTCGACCATTGCAGAAGCTGCGTCTGCCTGCTAAATCCCGGGCAATGAAAAAGGAGTCACGCAAAACTATAAAAATCACGTTTTATGAACACCTGCCCACATCGACAGCTGCTCTAATAAATTGTCTGTGTCAACTCACTTTTATAACATTTATTCTACACAATAACCATGTAAAAAAATCTACTCAAATAAATTGCATTAGTTTTTTTCAAAATATACAGTTATATAAAAACTGATATATTTTAAGTAAAGAGGAAGCAAATTTAATTTTTTTGGTATAAAACAAATAAAATTAACTAGATTGCAATTATTTAAAGTAGATAGAACCAACTTTGTGAGTGTAGCACTTTTTACAGTGTACATATACTATCCTGTTGAGTGTGTAAGTGCATAAGTACATAGTGCATGAGTGCATAGTGTATAGTGTGCCATTTGGGACGCAGCTTTAGTCATACTGATAGCGAATAGGTCATGATGACATGAGTTATTTTTCCGGAAAATACGAATCTGCGAATCTGTTGCTAACTTTACTGAACTTC